AGGACTGAGTCATTCTGACAGAGGACATACATCTTCAAATCCTAAAATAACTACCATATGCTCTCTATTGGAGCAATTTACCACCCGTGGTCTACAGCAACCCAGGTGGCCTTGGAATGGGTCTTTGCCTGAGTCTTCAAGGAAATAGTCAGTGTTTATTTTTGTATAAAGGAATGAGCAAATGCTGAGAAAGCATTATCAGTGGACTGCTTACATTGGAATTGAAGTCAACTCACTGTATGTAGTAGCTCTAGTCAAGCTAATGAGAAGATGGGCAGGAACTAAACATGTCTGGGGCTTTGTAGGTGCCAGGTCCTATACAATAAGCTGAGTCCGCTTGAGGATGTATGATGCTTCGTTGGTGTCAGGCACTATCCCATAAAATATGGTGTATACCTAGGAATTAAGTGTGCAATAATGCTTAGTAGATACCAGGTATTATTCAATATGCTATATACATGGCAATTAAGTGTGTAAGGTGCTTACAAGGTGCCAGGTACTATTCTACAGGCTGAGTACACAGCAATCAAGTATGTATGGTGTTACAAGGTTCTAGGTAGTATTCCACATGCTGTGTGTATGGGAACTGATCTCATGTTCCTAGTGATACTGTGATAAAGATTCCATATCTTTATATGATGGAAAATTTAGGTGCATTCTCGATAGTAATTCCAGAGAGGGTTAGCCTAGGGGGAAGCCCTGCCTGCCAAGTGCAGCTCCATGTGTTGGGCATCCAGACTCATGTGTTGGACATCCAGACTTGTGTGTTAGGCATCCAGATTCATGTGTTGGGCATCCAGACCCATGTGTTGGGCATCCAGACCCATGTGTTGGGCACCCAGATTCAGTCATAAGGAGAAAGAAGAAAGCCAGCCAAGCAACAGCATACCCCTTTCTCTGCTTCCTGATCTACTGATATATGAGCAAACAGCTTTCTGCTACCACACAAAGATGTACTGTCCCATCAATGGTGGGAAGAGAAACCTTTATGCCTTTAAAGTCATTTTTTGTCAGGATTTTAGTCACAGTGACTAAAAAAATAACTAATGCATCCCATTTTTCCAGTTGTCAAAACAGAATGAAATATAATGTACATGTTTGACCATGGTCATCAAGCTGGAAGCTGCATAGCTGGGATTTGATGCCTCAAATTTGCCCTGTAGACTATACTCTCAGAAAGCTAATAATGCAAGTATAATACATGACTCAGGCCAGAAATGTGCATAACTCATATATATATGCAATACATATACTAGATATAACACAGGGTATCACTAGGCACCCATAGCTGGCCTCAAACTCATGATCGTCCTGTTTCAGCTTCTTACATGCTGAGTCTAGGGAGTCATAAGTGCCTCTGAATTATCATTTTGTTTATGGTATTCTTTTATGATTTTATATTGTCAAACCTGTGACTACCCACACTTTCACATTTTGTTCTCTTTGTGCCTTGCAAAACATGTCACTCAATTGGAAGTCCCCTAAAGGGGACATCCCAAGGGTGTGTCTAGTGGTTTTGTTGTCATGGTAATGTTGTGTCAACATAGCAGTCACTGACTGTCCCCAGAGGTGACACACACCCATTCATTAAGTTCTGACCATCATCATATGTCTGCTGGGGTGGCTAACACTGTCACCTGGTCCTGTGGAAGATAGAGGATGTTTCCCCCCAATAATGGTAAGGTCATCATGGCCATGGCAGGCAGAGGCCACTACCAGCACTACTTTTGTTTATTTATTTATTTTGAAAGCAGGAAGGGTCTCAAGTATCTCAAGCTGAACTTGAAGTTGCTATGTAGCTAAGGGTGACCTTGACTTTAATCCTCCTGCCTCCACCTCCTGAGTGAACAGGCAGGTTCCAACCATGCCAAGTTTAAACAGTGCTAGAGAAGAAATCTAGGGCTTTACTGGTGTTAGGATTGCACCCTACTAGCTGAGTCACATCCCTAGCCTCTGTTACTTCTTGAGAAAACACTCTGGATTCTATTTGGATATCCTACTTCACAGCAGAGGCTCCCTACTTGGAATAGTGACCATTCTTCCCCAGAGAGGAGCTAGACAACCAGGGGTCACTAGTGCCTTTGCTTGTAGTTGAAGTGATACATACATATGACTTCCTATAAACCTCTAATTAAACAGAGGAATGTCAAAGGAGATGTTGAGATGAGTCCATCATTTGCTTATCAATATGGAAAGAGGGTAATATGACCAACTTTTTATAGACTTCACAGCATACACTGATATTGGCTAGCTGTATCAAAAGCCTTAGAAGAGAAAGGAAGGGCATTTTGTCAGTTAGTAAAATGCTTGTCTAGCATGCACAAGGCCCTCGGTTCAATTCCTAGTAGCCACCCCACACATACCCTTCCAAGTATATAAAGCCACTGACATGCCGTCTATTGTTAACTAATTTATTCACAGCTATACCAAAGACTACAAAGTATTATTTGTAAAAAATACAAATCAGAAATACCTTATTATATAATAGGGGTCAATTAGATAATTTATAATATAACTACTAGCAATTATGTTAACTGTATCATCACAGAAATTGTGTAGATGTGTAAATTTTGGCTATAAATATAAAAAACCATTTAAAATTGGCTATACATTATGATACCATATTTTTGTAAAATCAAAATCTATAAATTCACATAAACACTGAATTTTAACAGATTTTTCTCTGGGGAAGAGCAGTGCTGCTTTCTAATTTTCAGACACTGACTATATTGGTGTTTTAAATAACCAATAAAAGTGTATTTTGTACTTAAACATTTTATTTCTGTTTTCTAGGCACATTACTGTTTTACCTTTTCTTTGTTTTCCTTTCTCTCCATTTCTACCCTATTTTTTCAGTTATCTCAAATGCAGAGTAAGTTTTCCCCTACTACCAGGAGAAAGGCAGCCCGTGCCCAGCCATCCCCAGTACCCAGTGTTCAAGCTCCACACATGCAGGGAACTCCATGACCTGGTCTAGATCAGGGTCTGATGAAACAGTTTCCCATCCTGAGACTCTGGGCCACTTAACAGAATTTATGGGTCGTTTGTGCAGGTGTGTGTGTTTATTTTTGTTGGGGTTTTTCCTAAAGAGAGTCAGGATCCCACAGTAAAACAGGAGGTCAGGGTTAGTCGAGCAGTAGCTGATGAGAAGAGTGTGCATGGGGACAGTGAAACCGCTTACTCTGTAAGTTGGGCATCTGCCTGAGGGAGGACAAGCCTGGTGCCCTCCTTCCTGGTCATCATGCAAGCAGGAAGCTGCCACACCTTCTTCGGATTTCTGGGCTTGAGATAATGGAAAATTGTTTGGAAATCAAGAAGCATATTCTTGATGATGGGGTAGCTAGCATCTGTAATCCCGGCACTCAGGAGACAGAGGCAGCTGGATTTCTGTGAGTTCCAGGCTGTGCTAGGCTACATAGTGAGACCTGTCTCAATAAATACTTAAATACATAAATTAAAAGCATCTTTACATTTACCTTCCAAACGAACATTAGAAACGGATTTGTTTTCATATTATATAACAAGTGGACAAAATGTACCAACATTCCAACTGAAGCCTTCTCTAATGTTGGGGAATATTATAGTATATCCAGTTACAGGTAAGCACTAGGGGTCAGATGCATGAATATAAGTGTTTTAGCCAGCACCAGCCTCCACCTTGGCAGAAACAGAAGGAAAGAGAGTTCCTTTCACATTTGTTCATTCCGTGTCATTAAGCAACCTCCCTGGGAGGACTAGAGAGGAGAGTAGGGCTTGTACTGCTCATAGTCACAGGAAATAGAATACAAGCTGATGGCCCCCAATCCCATAGCCACTTCTTGAGTCAGCTACTTGGATCTGCTGCTGTCAAGGGTGTTCTGACCTGTTGATGCTAGGCGGACCCCTGACTGGTTTGGCTATCAGCATGCTGCTCTGGATACTTTGTATTTCTTTCACAGAACTCTGAGCTAAGGAAAGGGTGGTGTCATGAAGACATCAAGCTGAAGCTGTCATTGACATGCTACACAACAGTGCCTGACCAACATGTACAGAAACCGCTCATGTATAAACCCAATGCCACAGAGCCTCTAGAGTGATCCAGCTCCCTAAGTCTAGATGAATCGTGCAGTCTACATATAAAACACAAGACCCGAAGAGCCAGATAGAGAGAACTAGATAGCAGCTCCATATCTAGGGAAGGGCTGGCCCAAGACAAGGCAGTTCCTTGGCAACATTTCTGTGGATAAGTCCCATCTGTCTATGAGTCACTTTTGGTTTCTTCCTTAGGATCACAAGGACCTCATTCGCTCAGTAATGCCTCATGGACTTGATAATGGTTATCTATCATGATTTATAGCAGACGTCTCCTATCTGACACATGTTCAGCCCCCAGTGTGCTGTGGGCAGGCGCTTTAATCCAACTCTGCTGAATTTACAATGCATCTACAGTAGCAAGTCTGTACAAGCTGAAAATCAAAGTGTAATTCAAAGGCCACAGGGCTGAGGAGGCAGCCAGGAGATAAATCCCAATTTCAACCTTGGCTCACTGCAAGTTGTTTCAGTGGACTGTCAGTCATATTTAAAAATAAAATAGAACTACAAAGACACCAGATGGCATGTCCCAAGAGAAACAGGGCCATGCTGCTTAGGACTCCTTCAAAAGGTTCTTAGCAAGAAAGGACTTGGCGGATTGAGGGGGGGGGTGGCGCATTTTAAAGGCCCAGGACTGTTTGGCCTTGGTCACTCATTTACAGACATTTCTGAACTTTAAACGAAAGAAATGCAAGCAGGTGACAGAAACCATGAGATGCAGCCAAGCTCCAGTCCCAGCTGGAGCTGATGCTTCAGCTGTCAAACTAGCTTGTTTCTGGAGTGGAGGAGGTCACGTTATAAGACTTAAGAGACTTAAGGGAAAATGGGGAGGTTAGGCATTGGGGGTACTCACTTTGTATCCCCCACAGACACTGATGCCACAGTGATGCTGAGGAAAAATGAAGAGGTGAGGCACTGGGGGTACTCACCTTGCACCCCTCACAGGCACTGACGCCATAGTGGTACCCCGATGACTTGTCCTGGCAGACGAAGCAGGGCTTGTACACCCGAGGAGGAGGAAGTGGAGATGGTGGGCTTGGGACGAGCTCTTCAGAGCTGGTACTCTGTGTCTCAATTGCTAAGGTAGAGAGGAGGGAGGGAGGGAAACAAGAGAAAGCACACTTCAGTTCCTTTAGGTTTTCCCCAGCCAATTCCAACATCTCTGCTCCAAGCTTGAGCAATAACCCTAGCAGAATTAAGCCCACAGAAGCAGTTGTCGTAGTTGCCACCCCCAAGTGGTGATGCTGAATGACCCCTACAAAGCAACCTCACATGTATCAAATTTGAAGTTCACGGGCACCATGATGGCGATGGATCCCAAGTTACCCACGAGAAACAGAAATTCAACACAGGTCCCTCAGGCAGAGCCTTGTCCAAGACCAGCAGGGAGCGGGTGGAAGCAAAGTCCAAAGTCAGCCCTTTGGACAAGCCCTGGATCTCTCCTCTTTTTCCCCTGGCTTTCTTTTATCTAGCTGTGGGTGTGTTGTCTGATGCTATTGTTCACTCAACCAAAAATTATTTATTTATTTATTATTACAACAAAAAATAAACGTTGAAGCCCAGTGTTGTGGGTGTATGGAGCTGAGCTTTTGCTATAATGGATACAAATCCTTATTTTGGGAAGCCCTGCACTGCTTGGAGCTGGCCCTGGCCATGTAGCACCAACAACCCGGAGCTTAGAAAGCATAGCTTCTGGTCTGTGTAAGTAAAAGGTACATTTTGATAAAAGCCCAGGTTAGGATGTATTTTGTGTTGGAGATGGAGTAGGTCACACTTAACTTACTTCTAACTCATGTACGTCTGTATTCTGGAGATTTACCTTAGGAAAGGACATCACTATTATAGGCCAGACAACCTCAAACTCCCAATTCTTCTGCCACTGCTTCCCTGATGCTATGGCATAGACATATGGTACTGCACCTGGCTTTTTATTCCAGACTATAAGCCACATGATCCCTATTGTCATTATCCAACCACTCAGATTCCACTAAGATGGACATTTGTAGAGCTTGGACCAGAATGTTCTTCCACCAAGGTGAGAGCAGGAACTGACCTTTGCTCACTGCAGGCAAACAGAGCCCATAAAATATGAGGGGCACAATTGAAAGGAGTCAGATGGTGTTCCAGAATCTTCCAGTCTCCAAATCACTTCACAAGACACAGTATTTCCAAGAGTATCAAATCCCTAGCTGTTGCACTCTTCATAATTGTGCCAGTGAGGGGCTTCCCGAGTTCCTCTACTTTCTGAGCCTGCTGCTAACCCATGCTGTCTGGAGGGGGAGGTCTACACTGGGCACAGTGTTCTCAGCTGCAGAAGTCTCCTCAGCCTTCCTGAGTCTACACTCTCCACCCTTGCACTGCTGCAAGCAAGATAACTAATCAAAGGTTAAAATTAACCTGTCATCTGCCTACAGGAAGCCTCCGACAGTCATGAACAAGGTCAGAGTCCTTCCCATGCTCTGAGGGGCTTTTCACGACGTGTCTTCATTGACGTTCATCTTCCAGGATTCCCTCATTGGCTAAGTTCTAAATAATTGCTTTCAATTCTTTTGAACAAGACAAGCTCAAATGTGAGACTCCAACTCTGCAGCTTGTCCCAACCATGTTGGGACAGCAGAGGCCTAATCTCAGGAGCTCTAGGCTAGGCTAGCATTGCCAGGCCCTGTCCCAGACAGGTGAGCAAATAGCCATACTAACCATTTTCCTCACCTACAAATTGCAAGCCCACCAGGTTTGTCTTATTTGTCTCTTACATCTCAGAGTAAGTTCTTCTCTCTCAGAGATGACTTCTCTAATTAGTGTCCTTGCTGTGGAAGGGACTGTTACTCAGTGGTAGAGCATGTGCTAAACATGTGTGACATGTGATCAATCCCAAGCACAAACCCAAAGGACAGAAGAAAAAAGATGGCCCCTTCCTATACCTGGTCTGATGGGGGATGTCCTTCTGTATATATGTTTTTCTTATTAGTTGATGAATAAAACACTGATTGACCAGTAGCCAGGCAGAAAGTATAGGTGGGGCTACCAGATGAGGAGAATGTTGGGGAGAGGACACAGAGAGAGGCCTTGAGAGAGACACCATGTAATTACTGAAGGAGTAATAGGTTCAGAATTCTCCTTTAAGGTAAGACTATGTGGAACTATTTAGATTAATAGAAATGGGTTGATAATTAAGAAAGAACTAGCCAATAAGAAGCCTGGGCTATTGGCCAAACAGTTTATAATTATTATAGGTCTCTGTGTTTTTAAAAGAAACTCCATCTACACTGGTCACTGTGTCATATTATTTTATTTTATTTTCTATAAAATTTTAACTGTTGTCAAAATTTAGAACATTTGTCTGTTTACAACTTCATATTTTACCCCCCCCCCAAACACATATAGACTTTGTGAGGCCAGGAACTCTATCCATAGTGCTCACTTCTGTGTGCCAGGACCAGAGGGTCTTCCTATAGAGCAGATGATCAATACACACTGGTTGAACTAATTCATGAACTTTTCCCTTTTTTCTTCTCAAACACTAAGTGCATTTCTAAGTCGTTAAATGGTAAAATGTGAAATCAAAAGGCACTCTTATACTCATTTGCTTCCTTAAAAAACTAATTAGCCCTTTGGAACAGAATCAACTATAATTACAGTATTTTCATAATTCATGAGAACTTGGAATGAATTCATTAGGGTAGTATGGGTCCTAGAAGATAAATCCATTATGGTCTTTACAGGTTAGGTCTGAGGACAGTGATGAAGACATCAATCTTGAGTGCGTACTTTGCTGGCACATGAAGCCCTGGCTCAGGAAAAGGTGGTGCGGTGGTGCCAAGCCAGCAGACAGAGAGGATCTGGCTTGAGAAGACTCTAAGGCTTGCCATGATAAAGCCCTAGTGTGAAAGCCCCCTCACACTCCTCAGTGTCCCCCTGAAAGCTGATACAGAATCATGGCATCCACGAGAAGACTATACATACTGAAATTAATACATCTGTCTTTCTAAAATTGTAAGGAAGCTCAGATGTGAGGGCTTGTGAGGGCATGTATCTCTCACAATCTCTTCACTTAGACACAAGGTGCCCCTTTTGATTCTGGGGCATCCATGCCAGACTTCTTTCCGTGCACTTAAATGCCTTTGCTTGCTTACTGAAGTGGAATTATACTGAGATTGGGGCACTGTTTGGTTTATGGCGTCATGATTATAGTTCCTTGTTAGTATTTTTCCTGCAAAACTTCTCTAGGGAATAAACATCTTCACAGACAATCTCCGTGTATTTCCATCTATTTCTTTAGGATAAATTCTCAGAATTGTAATTATTAAGTTTAATAGAGATTATATTTCCAAATGATTTTGTTGGTGTTTAATTCATGCCGATAAACTGACTTCTAGGAAGGCTGTCATATTCATGGTCCTTCCTCCATGCTCATCTTCAGATTGGGCTAATGTGTGTGCTTCTGGACTTGCCTACAAGCATCAACAGCTCTCCAGAGCCATCGTCAATTTGGACTCTGTTCCTCACATGAACAAGGCATGAACGTCTGTGGAACAGCTGTTCTGGCTGTGCTAGGATTTTAGTAAATAGAGTCCTGTCAGGGCTGGACTCAGCTGTCACAGCCATGCCCTGAATTTCAAAAGTGAGTGGTAATTTCCATAAATATGTCATTTCAAATACCTGCACTGAAGAGAACCCAGCATTTTATCTTCCCAGTGAGGAAACAGAATGGAGAATGAGCTAATCCCAAGAAGTGTGAGATACAGTAAAGACTAAAGTGAGACTTGTAGATATCCAAAATCCTAAACATTTTAAAGAGGCTGAGAATAGTCTTTTCCCATGGATGAGTGTCGTTTATAACAACGAAGAGGCTTTTCTGAAATGCCCGTGGGAATGAAAATCTCTTCTAAGCAACCAGCAGAGCCCTGGACTCCATATTCTCACCCACAGCATGGCCCCAACTGTGCTGTTCACCACAGCATAGCGATCCCTATGCTCTTACCCCAAGCTGTGTCAGATGTGATGTGGAGCTCAAGATGAGCTGGGCCTGGAGCTACAGGGCTTTCTCTCCAGCTGTTTGGGAGGCTGGGGCAGGGAGGAAGATGGCAAGCTCAATCCTAGCCTGGGTTACAGAATGAGTTCAAAGGCCAGTCTGGGCAAGTCAATGAGACCCTATATCAAAATTAAAAAAAAAAAATCAGAGGTGGTGTATAATTAAATGGTAGGGTATTTGCCCAGCATGAATGGGACCATGAGTTGAGTCCCCAATATTAAAAAACAAACAAACAAACAAAAAACCTGTGTATTTATATCCATAGTCTGTGGTTTTAAATTTCTTCTATGTGACCTATAAGTTCTTACTGTGTCAAAAAACCAAAGGGACTAAAATGAAAATTTCTGATTTCAGTAGCAACAGAGTTGGCTGAAGGCAAACATTCCGATGCCTGTTCTAGAATGGAAACCAGGATGTGGCACCATGATAAAAGGCTTGGAGGATTTCAATGGAATCACTTGGTCTTTAGTAATGTAGCATAAACACACTTTGGCTAAGTTTATTAGAGTTCCTCTTCCTGCCTGCCTCCCTCCCTTCCCACAAAGAGGTGGGGATCTTGTGGGGATAGAGGTAACTCTCTTTCTAGGGACAGATTTGGTATTTAAGGTGGATCCCCTTTCACTGGACACCTTTGGTATTTAAGGTGGATACAGATGACTTAGCCATTGATCTGCTCACGGTCACCCTGCTTAAATCAATAATCTATTAGTCCTTTTAAATTAGAGTTGGATTCATCAAATGCCCTTGAGAGGCTTCAAACATTTTCTTCCTTATTCCAGGCAAGTACAATCAGTCCACAGAATGATAAAAAATTTTGCTGGAAAACTCTGCCGGATCAGCAGACAATGCATTCTGGATTAGCTCATTCAGCAATCTCAAACAGGCCAAAAGAGCAGCTTGTAGACTTCCCAGGGGGAAAGAGGCTCCTGTTGTGTCTTTCACTAGAGCAACAGCACCACAGGCACCCTGGTGGACTGCAGGCTGGGGAGTCGGTCTTGGAGAAATAATTCCCATCGGGCACTGGACTCCTGCTTTTACCCATTGCT